TTTGGGTTGTGATGGAATAAATCAAAATGGATCTCTAAACTATCTGCGCTTCTTTAATTAATGAAGTAGCAGTTAGTCAAGCAATGCAACTTTCGATGTTGAGCCGGGGGTCTCTTTGGAAACAGCCTCTCTACTTTCAAGTAGGGGCAAGGTCTGCGTACACACACCCTCCCCAGACCCTACTCTTGTGGGATTTAACTGGGTTGTTGTTGTTGTTGTTGTTTACCGGTTACCGAATAACAACCCAGTAAAGTCTCATAACTGGGGTGCGGGGCAGGTGGCTGTACGCAAGCCTTGACCCTACTTATAGAGATGGAGATGTTTCTGAAAATCATGCTTAAACAACAACAACCCAGTAGAATCCCACGGAAGTAGGGTCTAGGGAGGGTGTGTGTACGCAGATCTTACCTCTACTCGGAAGTAGAGGTTGTTTCCAAGAGACCCCAGCTCGAGTAGCACAGAAGCACAGGGCAAACAGGAAGAAACATAAAGTAGGCGAAGAAAGATAAGATAAATGAACCAGACAATGTTAAGCACAAAAGCTACCGCCATACTACCCAACTGTCACAATTCTATCTCTCCAAACACTCCGGTCTAAGGTCATATCCGTGGTGAGGGCCAAAAGTCTAAGGTCTTGGCTAACCACGTCTTTCCAAGTTTTCTTGGGTCTACCTCTTCCCACATTCCCACCCACCACTGAAAGTGTTACGCTGCATCTACTGGCCGAACTCCACTCCTTGGAGTATTAGGACTCTTTGTCTATTTTGTTTCCTTTTCTAGTTTGGCAGCTAATTAGTTTCCTAGTAGGATTTTGACTCTCTTGTTTCTCTCCTATAAATAGAGGAGATTATCTTGTACAAAGGCAGAACAATTCAATATAAAACTATTTTCTCTCTTATCAGTTTCTACATGGTATCAGAGCAAAGATCCTAGGTTCCGTCCAATTATCGTCCAACCTAGTAACGCACGACCTGATCACCGTGCCAACAACGGTGAACCATGGCGGAAGAGAAAGCTGAGAAACCCCTCTCAAAAGGAAACGGCGAAGAAGAAGAAACAGGCGACAGATCAATTGCGAAAATCAGCCCTTACGAGTTGAAATCTGCGGACACTCCGGCTTTGATTATCACCCAAATCAAATTAACTGGTGATAATTATGAAGAATGGGCACGAGCAGTGCGGATCGCACTTCGCGCCAAAAGAAAATTTGGTTTCATTGATGGATCCATACCTCAATCAGTAGAAGATAACGAAGAAGCAGAAGAATGGTGGATTGTGAATGCAATGTTGGTTTCATGGATCTTCAACACCATCGATGGGTCTCTTCGAAACTCGATCACGCAAGTTGAAATAGCGACAGAACTGTGGAAAGATATTAAGGAGAGATTCTCTGTGGCGAATGGACCAAGAGTAAACCAACTCAAGAAGGAGTTGGCAAACTGTAAGCAAAACGGACAACCAATCGTGACATACTTTGGAAAGATGAAGACGATTTGGGACGAGCTTGGGGTTATCGAAAAGCTTCCAACTTGTACTAGGTGCCGTGGGTGCAAGTGCGGCACCTCCCAGTTAATCGAGACGCAGAAGGAGAACGAGAAGGTTCACCAATTCCTGATGGGATTGGATAATGAGGGATATGGAAGTATCCGATCCAACATACTGTCAGTCACTCCGTTGGCTCCACTTAATCGGGTTTACTCGACGGTGATACAACAAGAAGGGATAATTAAAGTTACTCAGGAGGAAGAGAAAAACCCGGTTGGGTTCGCAGTAATAAACAACCGAGACAACAACCGAGATCTCAAATGCAAACACTGTGGACAAACAGGGCACGAGATGAGTGGATGCTTTCAACTAATTGGTTACCCGGAATGGTGGGGTGACAGGCCCAGATTCCACACAGCTGGACGCGGGGCAGGCCGTGGAGGAGCAACCCGAGGCAGACAAGGGGGCAGAGGCTCGGGAGGAGGACGCGGCAACCGTCCAGTCAATGGCGGTGGCGTGACAGGTCCAGCCGCTCATACAGCCCGCGTAGGAGGAAATAACGGACAGAAGGAGACAATCACTTCCCAACAATGGAATACTTTAATGGAATTGTTGAAAGAGAAAGAGGTGCCTCTTGACAACAAATTTTCAGGTATTTCTACCTCTTGGATAATTGATAGCGGTGCTAGTCAGCACATGACTGGAGACAAAGGAGAATTGAAAGACATTGAGCAAATAACTCCATGTTCGGTTGGGTTACCAAATGGAGAACAAGCGACGGCAGGGCATAAAGGGAGTGTTTGTTTAAATGGGAAAATTACCCTGAAAAATGTGTTGTTTGTGCCTAAGCTTAACTGCAACCTTATATCTGTTTCGCAACTTCTAGATGACAAAGGACTAATTGTTTTGTTTATTAATAAAATTTGTCTTATACAGGACTGTGCCTCGAAGATGGTGATTGGAATGGGTAAGCAGCTTGGAGGAATATACTACTTCCAGAAGGGTGTGAGCGATAAAGTCTGTACTGTGAAGGCGGCTGAAGATGCGGATATCTGGCATAAGAGATTAGGACATCCTTCCCATACTGTTGTTCAACTTTTACCCCAAGTACTTTCTACCAAAAAGAATGTTCATAATATTCCTTGTGATGTTTGCTTTCGTTCAAAACAATGTCGTGATTCCTTTCCTGAAAGTTCAAATAAATCTCTTGTTCCTTTCTCCTTAATTCACTGTGATTTGTGGGGTGGATATAGAACTCCTACTCGAACTGGGGCTAAATATTTTGACTATTGTGGAGGACTTCTCTCGGGCAGTTTGGGTCTATCTACTTAACAATAAAGATGAAACTCCCTCCGTTCTCCATAATTTTTTTGTGATGGTGGAACGTCAATTTGATAAAAAGGTCAAGGTCATTCGTAGTGATAATGGAACTGAGTTCACATGTATGAAACCTTTCTTTCAGTCACAAGGAATACTTTTTGAATCCTCCTGTGTAGGAACCCCTCAACAAAATGGGAGAGTGGAACGCAAACATCGTCACATTCTTAACGTGGCGCGTGCCTTGCGTTTTCAAGCAAACCTTCCCATCAAGTTTTGGGGAGACTGCATCTTGACCGCTAGTTATCTCATCAACCGTACACCCACACCCTTACTCCAAAACAAAACTCCTTACGAAATGTTGTTTGGGCAACCTCCCTCATATTCTCATCTTCGAACTTTTGGATGCCTAGCCTATGCACATAACCAAAAACATCGTGGAGACAAGTTTGCTAGTCGCTCACGAAAATGCCTTTTCCTTGGTTACCCCTTTGGCCAAAAAGGTTGGCGACTGCTCGATTTGGAAACCAATCACATCCTGAGTAGTCGGGATGTCAAATTCGTCGAGCAGTCGTTCCCATTCTCTTCCACTCAATCTACAGATGACAACCCCAAAACCTCTTCAACTGAACACTTCGTGTTTAAACGGGATGACGATGAGGCAGCACCGGCTGTGCCTAGCGAGTACTTCACGCCGTCGTCGTCCCAGCCAGTTCCCATTCCCATCGAGGACACCACTAGAGCCGATGAAACTAAAACTCGCCCCACCAATAATGAACCCTTGACCACCGATAATACCACCGAACCAGATTCCCTTGATAGCCCCACCGGTGTCACAGAACCCACTAATCCCTTACGTCGGGGAACACGCGAACGGCAGCCTTCCACACGGCTACGAGACTTCGTTGTTCACACCATTCAACAACCTCAAGCT